TTCTTTTATTTTCATTTTATTTTTGTTTCTTTTATTATTTATTACTTTGAAATTATTATTGTTAATTTCTATAAAATAAAATAAAAAAAAAGGTATAATGTTATAATAAAAATGTTTCTAAAAATATTCAACACCACATACAACCCAAATCAGAAAACTATAATAAATTTTTTATAGTTTTTTTATAGTTTTTTTAAAAAAAAATTTTAAAATAATTTTTTTTTTAAAATTATTTTTTTTTTTTTCATTTTTTAAACCACACAAAAAAACAGTAGCAGCATAATCTAATTTTAATCAATTTCGATCTAAATATCTGTTTTGTATTATTTTTATAAAAAAAAAAAATAAAATAAAAAATAAAATAAAAAAAAAAAAAAAAAATAAATTTTTTTTTCTCAGGCGAAGGAAAAAAAAAAAAAACTAATTATAACTCGCAAAAAAAAAAAGAAAAAATCATTCATATATATATAGGGTTATTATGATCATATATTATAAATTGTTAAACAATTACATAAAAAAATAATACTTTTTTTTTTTTTTCTTTCATAATTAATAATAAAGAAAAATAAATTTTAATTTTTAAAATAGGAATCAGATAACAAAAAAAAAAATTTCATAGATATTTAAAAATATTCATATAACCACAAAAATAAAAAAATTTATCGAAAAATTATATATATTAAATTACAAGAATAAAAATATTTTTTTTAATAAATAATAAAACACATTCAAAAATTATTTCTCTATTTATTTTTATATAGTCCCTCTTCTAATTTTTTATTTCATAAAAAAATAAAAAAATTTTATAGATTTAAAATTATTTATCTTTCATACAGATAAATAATATTGTAATATAGTATCAATAATAATAGTAATATTAGAATTATAAATAAAAAAATAAATAAATAATAAATAACAATAATATAAAAAAATGGATAGTTATCAATCATTTGGGTTATGCGAAAATGCCTTAGAATTTCAAGTCGAAGTAGAGTTACCAGATCGTACATTTAAACAATATCAATTTCATTCTAGAAATACAGTCGATAAAATTAAAGTAAATTTAATAAAAAAACAAATAAATTATAAAAAAAAAAAAAAAAAAATAAAAAAGTTGGATTTTATATTAATATTTAAATTATTATTATTATTATTACTATTATTCCTATTTATTAGACTATAATTTTACAAGATCACCCAAATTTAAAGAAAAATCTACCAAACTCAAGTGATTATATTTTAACAGTCGACAATGAAAAAATCGAAATTGATTTTCAAAGATTTATAGTTTCACATCCAAGAATTACAGAGATATTAGAACAAGAACCAATGGTTAAAATTAAATTGGTACCCAAAGGTTTAGCTATTAATCATACATGTAGTCCACCAAATTCACCAAATTCACCAATTATTAATAGACAAGAGCAATTGTAGGTTTTAAAATTATTATTGTTATTATTAAAATTAAAATTAAAATATTTATATTTTTTTTTTTATAGAAATTTAAATGTAAAGGTTGCAGACTTAAAATTATCGTTAGAAAAGTCACCAATGGTTTCAAGACTAGCAAATGGTGGTAGACCAAAGAGTGCAGACCCAATAAAGAGTAAGAAAGAGGATAGTAAATTTTTATTACCAGAAATTACAAAGAATCGATCATCATCGTCTTCAACTTTTTCATCACAGGTCCCAACTATTAATACTACAACAACCACAACCACTACTACAACAACCACTACTAGCACATCCACATCACCTAAAATTGATAGATCAGCTTCAGTTGCAGATATGAATTTAAATAAATCATCAGACAGTGTCAGTTCAACAAGTTCAACAGGAAGCAATAAAGAGGTTGGTGGTTTCTTTACATTTGGTTCACCAAAAATTAAATCATTTTTCATAAATACATTTGATCAAAAGAGAAGATCGTTAACCAATAAAAATAAATCAAGTGATGATCTTTCATATTCATCTATCCACATAGGCGCCACATTAAGACCAAAGAGTGCTCAAGAGTATATAGCTGCACAACAGCAATTAAATAACAATAAAGAAGATGCATCCGGTGTAATTGGTAGTAGTGGTAGTATTGGCGGTAATGGTTCGCCAACTAATAAAAATGGAGGTCTTAATGGAAGCAGTAGCAGCAACAGCAGCAGTAGATCAAGTGCAGAGTTTGAAACATCATATATAAAGGACTATAGTTTAATTCAACCATCAAAGGGTTTCATAGTGGAATCACAAAGACCAAATTTAACATTACCTTTAATTATTAGCAGCGGTCAATTAGAGTTAAATACATTAATCACCAACGAATCATGGTATTGTAAATATTTTTATGGAATTGACCATTGGAATTATATTGGAGAAGACTCGAAGAACGGTTTATTTATAGTATCAATTTTAAAAGAAAACAATAGCGATTGTAGTAGTACCAACAGCACACCCAATAGCTCTACAAAGAATTTATTAGCAGACGAAGCTAACCCCACCGCCAATACAAGCCCAGGAAAATCACAAGAAAAAAAACATAATTTTAAAGTTTTATTGCGTACTAAAAACAGTGATATCTTTACCACAGCCAGAATAAAAGGTGTGGTATCTTTTTTAGGTAATGTCAGTTCAAAACCACCAGTTAAAGAAATCGTTCAATCCATTATACCAGAGATGTCATTCAAGTTTTTAAAATCTGTAAAAAATAACGACATTCAAAAAGATTTGAATTCATTCGAAGAAAGACAGCGTGTAAAAAGTTTTAAATTTGGTGTTTTATATTGTGCTCCAAACCAACAAGAAGAGGAAGATATGTTTTCTAATCGTAGTGGCTCTCCAGGTTTTAATCAGTTTTTAGATTTCTTGGGTCAACGTATAAAATTAAATGGTTGGAAAGATTATAGAGGTGGTTTAGATGTAAAAAGCGATACTACTGGTACTGAATCGATCTATGAAAAATATCAAGGTTTCGAAATTATGTTTCATGTTGCAACAATGTTACCTTATAGCGAACTTGATAAACAACAAGTTGATAAAAAAAGACATTTAGGTAATGATATTGTAGTTATAGTTTATAAAGAAGGTGATCAGTTATTTGATCCAAAAGTTATAAAATCAGATTTTAATCGTAAGTAGATGGAGTTGAAATAATAAACAAGCAAACTTTAACTAAAATATTTACTAATATTAATTTTAAATTATAGATGTATTTATAGTTGTTTCACCAGTTGATAAAGTTAATAATAAAAAATACAAACTATCAATTGTTTATAAAGATGGTGTTGAACCCTCAACTCCTTATCTTCCAAATCCCTCAATTTGGGAACAATCAAATGATTTCAAAGAGTTTTTACTTTCTAAATTAATTAATTCAGAATGTGCCTCCTATCAAGCCCCAAGTTTCAAAATTAAAATTCAAAGAACTCGTTGTGCATTATTACAAGATATGAACACCACCTATTTAAATAATTCTGAATAAAAATAGAAATAATAAAACAAAATTTATAAAAAATAATAGATAATAATAATAATAATAATAATAATAATAATAATAATAATAATAATAATAATAATAATAATAATAATAATAATAATAGTAATTATAATTAAAATAACAATAGAAAGTGATATTAATAAATGATAATAATATAAATTCATTTCATTATTATTATAGGTATTATAACAATAAATTTAATAATTTAATGTTATAAATACCATCGAACAATGAATGAATATATTTTTTTTTATATAAATTTTTTTTTTTTTTTTTTTCTTTAATTATTGTTTAAAACATTTATTTAAAATTATAAACAAACTCCTTCTCTAAGGTAACATTGCTTGTTGTAGTTTAATGTTTCTTTTTCACAATGTTTCATCAAGCATGACTCTTTGTATGGGATACTTGATCCTTCAATGTAATTAACACAATCATTCTTTTCATAACATTGATCTCTTTGAAGTTTTGCTTTTTGACACTGAGTTGTTTTTGATAAAAATGAATAAACACATTCATTGGTATCAGTATCACATAAATAGCGATCTGGGCATCTATAGTCATTTCCAGTACAGTTTTTGAGGCTATTAGAATCAAATTGTGCACATTTGCAAAATATTTGATGGTCAACACTGTCACAATGACACTAATTTAAAAAAAAAATAACAAATAAAAATTAATAAATTTACTTTTTTTTTTTAATTTAAAAATTCTTACATATAAAGATTCACCACATAAATCGTGATGTTCAGTGCATTCTTCACCTTTCTGAAGGCTGTACAATGGAGAACATACTCCATTGTGGCATTCTGAGTTTATTTCACATTCATTAATGTTTACACACTTATCACCCACTTTTTTAATTGGTTTACAGGTTGTATTATGACAAACTGGGTCTTCTGGGTTATATGGACATATAGAACCATCGCAATATTGATCATTTGGACAATCAAAATTATTTTGACATTCTTGAGTGGGGCTGGTACATTTTGAACCAATACATTGTAATGTTCCAAGACATTTATCATCCTTTTCACAATTCTCACCAATACCGAGATAACTGAAGGGGGAACAGATACCTGGAGTATTTCCAAAAGGGATAGTTTGGCAAAATAGGCCATCACCACATTCTCTTGATAAAAAAAGTTCAGTGCAATTATCTCCTAATTTGAGTTCTTGTAAACATGTCCCATTTTCATACATGTCTGAGCAATAGTATCCCTTTGGACATGGTACATATGGATATTCTGAGCATTTACCCCCTGGAACACTACATTTGAAACTTGCACTGCACACAACTATTAAAATTGAAAAAACTGTTAATAAAATTTTCATTTTTGTTAATGATTTGTTATGAAAAAAAATGAAAAAAATATCTTTTTATACCTTTTTTTTTATATTTGTATTTAAATTATTACTATTTACTTGTATTTAAATTCCTTATTATTAAAGTTTAATTAGAACCCCCCACCCAATTTGATAAGAAAAATATTAATATTTAACCCACCATATTTTAGCTCAAATATTTAAAACATGAAATTTTAATATTAATTATTATTATAGATTAAATAATATTAATATTAGCGCTTAAATGGTTATATAAATCATTTAAATTAATATTTTCGTTTTTTTTTTATTTTTTTTTTTTTTTTTACAATTTTTCATTTTTTCATTTTTATTTTAATTTTTTATTTTTATTTTTTTATTTAAATTATTCATTAATATGTTTTAAAAAATGTTAACTTTCAATAGAGTTTATAAAACTTTACAAAAAAATAATAATAGATTATCAAACTATATAATTAATAATCGATCTATCCAACTGAATAATAATAATAATGTATTTAATAAAAATTTTTATAAATCTTTTACAACAGAAACAACAGCAACAACAACAGAACCAGAAATCAAACCAAAAATAAAAACAGCAACAAATATAACTTCACCATACCTAAAAGATAATAATGATGATAGTAATAATAATAATAATAATAATACGCAATTTAAATTTTTTCACCCAGATATACAAAATGTGTTAAAAGAAATGAAAATCGATAAACCAACAATAATTCAAAAAAAAACTATTCCTGCATTACAAAGTGGTGTTGATGCATATATAGTGGATGAAACTGGTACTGGTAAAAGCTTTGGTGTAATGTTAGAAATTATGAATAGATACTATAAAGATATTTTAGAAAATAAAACCACCAATCATAGCAATAAAAATAACGAAATAATCAAACCAAAATATATTATCATCTCACCAACTAGAGAGCTAGCATGGCAATTTGGTTATTGGATAAGAAATTTATTAAATAGATTATTACCAGAAAATAAAGAGCAACTATCAAAAGTTCAATTGGCAGTTAATGGTATAGCTTCTGAAGAAATATTAAGAAAACAACTATTACTCTCAAATCCCGATATTTTAATTGGTACATCAAATATGTTATATCCATTGGTAGTTAATGGGTTTTTATCAATTGACAATTTAAATATGTTGTATATAGACGAAGCCGATCAAATTTTTCAAACTTTAGGAAAAGATGCAATCGAGAAACAAAAGAAAATAAGAAGGGATCATCCATTACCAAGCTCATTGCTATTCAACGAGATTAAAAGAAAAGTCAGGGAGAATAACCATTTTTACACTGAAACTTTTGAAGACCAGGTCAAAAAGCTTTTAAAAAAGAATCAACATACCTCAAAACCTCTATTGGATGAAACAGAGAATCAGAAACCAAAATATATTAAAACCGATAGACCATTCCAAACCATATTTTCATCAGCGACCATTGGTAACACAACTAAAAAGGAAATTAAAGATAGAGACTGGATTAACGTCAAGTCGCAATTCATAACAGCATTAGACGAAAACAAAGTTAAATCAAAAGATATTAGGGTCAACAAAAATGGTGAATATTTCCATGGTGATTTAGAATTAGCACCATTCAGGGAGCAGCTATCAATTATCAACAGATTAAATCATTATTTCATAACAGTAGACAGTGAAAATCAATTAATTAATGGTGTTGTAGATGTTTGGCGTAATCTTAAACCAACTATAGCAATTGGTATCCTCTCAAACGATGCAAATATTTCAAAAATTTGTGAAACTATAAGAAAAAGAAATATAAACTGTTTCACTTTATCACATGCAATGAATTTCCAATCATTCAACGTAACTCATTTACCTGACTCACCCGAAAAAGAACAAATTTTAAAAGATTCCGAATTAGAATCAAAATATAAAGAAATCAATATCAAAAGAGAAATTAAATACAGAGAAAAAGAAAGAAAAAATAAATTAAAACAAGAAAGAAAACTACAACAACAACATCAAAAGAACGAAAAACTTGACGAAGAAGATGAAAATGTTTTAGAGATTTTAAAAGAATATGAAAAAGAATGGAAATTAGATCAACTCGATAATAAATCAGTTTTATATTTAGCCAAGGAAGATGCCATCAGGGGTATAGATATCGAAGATGTTTCCCACGTCTTCATTTTAAATATTGCCGTTAAACCAAGCTCCTATCTTCACATGATCGGTAGAACAGCCAGAATGGGTAAATTTGGAAATGTAGTTTGTATATATAACGCCTCATTATCACCAAAATATTTAAATACAATGAACCAACTAAACATACCATTTAAAGAAGAAGACATATACTAAAAAAAAAATAAAAAAAAAAATAAAAAAAAAAAAAAATCGAAAGAAATTTTTTTTTCGTTTTTCGAAGTGGTTCTCCACGTTCTTTCAAAAAAAAATATCCAACAAATCACTCAGAAAAACGATAATACCATCACTACCACCATTAACGAATTTTTATGATTTTTTTTTCATATTTTTTTTTTTTTTTATTTTAAAAGGTTTTGATGATAAACAAAAAAAACTGACTAATTAATTATAATAATTGATTTTTTTTTTTTTTTTTAAAAGGTTATTGGAAAAAAAATTTAGATATTTTAGATATTTTGTTGTATTTTTTTTTTTATTTATTTTTTTTATATTTTTTTTTTATTTAATTTTTTTAATTTTTTTTTTTTTTTTTAATAGGGTTAAATAAAAAGAAAAAAAAAAAAATTCGTTCATTTCAAGAGAAACACAGACTAAGATGACATCAAACGAATCAAGAGAAATTGTTGTATATAGAACCTTTAAGGATTTTTATCCATTTTATTTAGTTCAACACTCAAATAGAATTAATAGAAGACTTCATTTTGTTGGTACCTCATTAGCACTTTTAACCCTCGGTTATTCATTATATGCCAGAAATCCAAATTTCATTTTATTAGCTTTAGTTTTAGGTTATGGTTTTGCCTGGGTTGGTCATTTCTTCTTTGAAGTATGTATTATATTATATTTGAATTTATATATATTTAAATATTTAAAAAATAAAAGAGGTTTTTAAGATTAAATATTAATTTATCATTTTATATTTTATTTTCTATAGAAAAATCGTCCAGCTACTTTCAAATACCCAGTTTTCAGTCTTCGTGGTGATATGGTCATGTGGAAATCAATGATCACTGGTAAACTCAAGATTTAAAAAATAATAAAAAATAATAAAAAAAAAAAAAATAAAAAAATAAAAAAAAAAAATATATAAAATTTAAAAATAAAATCACGATTGATGTCCATATTAAACTCCATTTTGTAATTAAATATATATTTTTTAAATTTTCTTGTTTATATTTGAACACATTAGTAAATGAGTGTGTAATTTTTACCTATTTTGTGTGTTAATATTTTTAATTTTTTTTTTTTTAAATTAAAATTTTAATTTTTAAATTAAAATTTTTTTTTTTTATTTTCATTTTTTTTTATTTTTTTATCACATTAACAATAAACAGTTTACAAATAAAAAATAACAAAATAATATAAAAAAATTCAAATAATATTTTAATAATTTATTTTATTTCTATTTAATAGATTTACTATTTACTGATTTATAGAAAAAAAAAAATGAATTATTTTAAAAAATTATTAAATGGGGATTGGAATTTGCAATTAGTAAATTTTAAAAGTGGCACCATTGATATTAAGAAGGGACCAATACCAATTTCACAATTAACCAATCAACAAAGTATTAGGGCCGTTGTACCTGGTGAGGTTCACATGGATCTTTATAAGGTTAATGGATTAGTTCCTGACTTTTATATAGGCGAAAATGAAGTAAGTCATTGTATAGTTTTTTATATTAATTATTAAATTTAACAATTTCAAATATTAATAAAAACTCATACATTAGCTAAAATATAGATGGATAGCAGAATCCGATTGGAAATATTCAAGAGAATTTATATTTGAAAAAAATGAATTGGAAGGTTTTGATCATGCCGATTTAATTTGTGAAGGTATAGATACAGTTGCAGATATTTTTATTAATGGTACCAAATTACCCAAAAGAACTGAAAATATGTTCAGAATGTACAGATTTACTGATATCAAAAAGCTATTATACTTTTCAAATCAAACAGTTTCAAATGATAATAGTGATAGTAGTAGTAGCGATAGTAATAATGATGGCAATAGTGATAGTAGTACAGAAAATGAAAGTATAGACAATAAGAATAATAATAATAAAGAAATCAAATTTAATAAAATTGAAATTATTATTTATTCACCAGAAAAATATTGCAAAGATCTATCAAAAGAATATAAATATACAATTCCAGAGTGGGAGTATCCAAATGGTATTCATCATAGAAATTTTATTAGAAAATGTGCTTGTCATTTTGGGTGGGACTGGGGACCCTGCTTTTGTCCAATGGGTATCTTTAAAGATATTTATATACAATTTTATTCGATCCCTTTATTTAAATATGTTCAAATCGGCCAAACTCATAAAGACTACCAATTAAACAAATCAATAGATTTGGATTTCAAATTAAAGTTTTATATGGATACAATTTCAACTTTTGTAGATAAAGATTTGCCAATAGATATCAATATTACATGTAGACAGGACTTATCGGTAGATATTCATCATCGTGTCATTGTTAATACCAGTCAATTGTCAATAACAAATAGCTTTCAATTTAAAGTAAACATCAAGGATGCTAAGCTATGGTGGCCACTGGGACATGGTGATCAAAATCTTTATGATGTTACTATTTCTGTAAAGAAAGACGATGCTGGTGACTCGTACTATAGTGTCAAGAAGATTATTGGTTTGCGTACTACAAAGATTGATACCTCAAAAGATCTCTATGGAAGAAAGTTTCAATTTGTTGTTAATGGTATCTCAGTTTTTGCTAAGGGTGCTGATTGGATTCCTGCTGATCACTTTTTAACTCGTATTAGTAATGAAACTTATCATCATCTACTATTTAGTGCCAAGCATTCAAATATGAATTGTCTTAGGGTATGGGGTGGCGGTATTTATGAAAGTGACTATTTCTATGAACTGTGTGATCAATTTGGTATTATGCTTTGGCAAGATTTCATGTTTGGTTGTGCTCTATATCCAACAAATAAAGAATTTATTTCAAATGTCAGAAAAGAAGTAAAGTATCAGGTAGGTAGAATTGGTGACCATCCAAGTATTATTCTTTGGTGTGGTAGTAATGAAAGTGAACAAGCAATTCATGAAAAACTTTGGGAACCAATTAAAGAAAATCCAGTACGTTATGCTATCGACTTTAATCATCTTTATTTAGAAACTATTATGGAGACACTCAAAAAACAAAATCCAGATGCATTCTATTGGGTTAGCTCGCCATCAAATGGTGTCGGGGATTGGGGTGATACTAATGATCATACAAGAGGCGATACTCATTATTGGGCTGTATGGCACTCTGATATGCCTTTCACACAATACCTTAAATCAAAGAGCCGTTTCCTTTCTGAATTTGGTTTTCAATCATTACCTAGTTTTAGAGAGCTACAAAGAGTTTTAAGTGGACCAGATCAATTAAATATAACATCACCAGAGTTAGAGGGTCGTCAAAGATCACCAAAACCAGGTAATATTGGTATACTAAAGCATGTTGGTCTTCAATTCCGTGTTCCATTAGAATTTAGGAAATTCGTATATTGCACCCAAATACTTCAAGCCATTTCCATTAAAACTGGCTGTGAGCATTGGAGACGTATGAAGCCATATTGCATGGGTACTCTTTATTGGCAACTAAATGATATCTGGGTAGGTCCATCGTGGTCATCAATAGAATATAATGGCAATTGGAAACCTTTACAATACTTTGCAAGAAGATTCTATCAACCAATACTTTTATCTTTTGTAGAAAACATTGAGGAGCCAGAGCTTATAGAAATTTGGTTGACACACGATTATGAACATTTGGAAAATATATACTTACAATCAATGCTAATTATTCAAGTTTGGGATTTAACTACCTCAACCATTGTAAACACAATAGAAACAATTGTCTCTGTTGTTTTATCTGATCGTAATCAATTTAGTAAAAGAGTATTGTCCACTTCAAGAAAAGAGTTATTTGAGCTTCTTCCAAAACCTGCAAATCACTATATAGTAACTGCCAAGTTAGATTGTTCCATAAGCTCTATGAAGTCGAGCAATACCAAACTCATTTCATTGTTTTTAGAAGACAATGACAGTGATATTTCAAATATCTTTTATCCTGTACCATTTAAGAAATTAGAATTAAAGCCAACCATAATCTTTATTGTAGGTCAAAATGAAAATACATCAAATAGAGCTATTGGAATTGATGCAAATCATGAAAAGAAATGCTTCGATTTCAAAATTGAATCAAAAGATTCTATAGCTTTATTTGTTTGGATCGAATGTGAGAATATTCCAAATGGCCATTACAATGACAATGGTTTTATTTTATTCAAACATAACCAAAAATCCATTTCCTTCTATCCAAAAGAATTTGATGGAAATATAGTTCCCAAATTTAATTTTATTCATTTAAGAGATACCTATTAAAAAGAAAATAAATAAATAAATAATTTTTAATAAAATAAAATAATATAGTTTTTAGATTTCTTTATATATATTTTTAATTTATTTTTTATGCAAGTGTTGGTTTAATATCGAGTAATATAGTTGGATCGATTTGGAGTGTTAAATTATGAGTTGGTCTATTCCAGTTTGTACGAGACATTTGCATAACACTCATTGGAATTGGGTCTGGGGAAAGGCTATCTGGTTTCCAAACTTCTAATAATTTTTTGATTTGAAGAACATTAAGGGTTTCAAAGGCAGTTAAAATACTTTCTGAATCGGTGAAAATTGATTTATCAATGACCATAAGATTGGCAGCTTCGATGATGGCCATAAATTGGTGTCTGCATGGTTCTAAGAGTTCTCTTTCCTCGCAAGATGAAATCCAATCATCAAACTTACTTAATGATAATTTTAATTTAAAACCGTTGGCTGGGGTACAATACTTGTCTGAACCTAAAATATCGTTTAATAAAGTATGGCTAATAAAATGGAATGTTTGAGAGAAGAATTGTTGAACTATACTATCGAAAAGGAATCTATCTTTAAAGAAATTCATATACTTTTGTAATAATTTACAAATTTTATTAATATCTGCATCATTTTCGACTGCTGAGAATCTATTTCTTATAAAAAAAAATTATAAAATTAATAAAAGGTTTTCTTTTTTTTTTTTTTTAAAATTTAAATATACATACGTTTTTTTATCTAAAATACAAGTACCTTGAGAAATAATATTTGTTAATTTTGGTCTAAGCTTATTATAGATATTATGTAATAATAATGAATAAATTTCTCTAGAGAGGCTGATTAATTGATAATAGAAGGTTTGTGATGGTGATTTTCTACCGCCCATTGATGGAGAGCCATTATCCATAACCAAAATACCGTCAATAATTGGATCATATTCATCATCGATATTATTTGGACCATCTTTAATTAAATGAATAAGACTTGAAATGTTTGATAACCAATAAGAAAGATCAAATGAGTTGTACATTGATTTTTCGACTTGTTGAGAGAGAGCCGAATGAACTTTATTAAAGAGTCTACTGTTTTGGCTTGAGAAGGCATTTAAATCTGAAAGTTTTTCGAATAATGATAAGGCAGTTACACCGACACCATCTCTGAAAGTCATTGATTGAACAAAAATTGATCGCTCTATAAGTCTAGTTTCTTCTCTTTCTTGATCATCAGATTTGGCAACAGTTGGTACAAAACCATTTGACGAACCACCTTCTAGTTGATCCTCAAGTGATCTAATACGGTCTTTAAGATCTCTAATTTCTCTTTCTAATTTCTTTGTCTTTTCTCTTTCACGTGAGAGATCAGTTTTGGTTTGCTCCAATTGTCTTTCTAATTGCTCTTTTTCTTGTTTATCTTTTTCTCTTGATTTATCGCTAGAGTATTTACTGGCACCAGCAGTCATACTAAGAGCAGCTGCAGAAGTCATAGACATTGACATCTTATTTTCCATTTGTTGGTTAGATTCTTGAAGTTCGTCAACTTTACGATGAAGTGCCTCTTCACGGTCTCTAAGGTCATTAACAATATTATTGTGCTCCTCTATATCGTCATTATATCTTCTATTTAATTGATCATATTTATCTTGTGTTCGCTTGAGATCACCTTGTAAAACTGTAATTTTATCTTTGAGATCAATGTTTTCACGCTTGACTGTTTCGTCACCTGAAACTGGTGATGATACTCTTGATGAGGATGACTTTTGTTGTAATTGTTGAATCTCTTGTTTATTTCTTTCGAGCTCTTGCTTTTGTTGTTGAATAGTTTTATTTAAATCTGCATTTTGTTTTTCTAGATTGATGATTGTAATATTAGGTGAGGAGGATGAGGAAACTGGTGAGGTAATAACAGATGCTGTTGTTGCTGGTGAACCACCTGATTTCATTTTATTGATCATATCGTCCTTTTCTTTAACCTCTCTGGTAAGATCTTGAATCTTTCTCTTTAATTCTAATGTACCACCACCTACATTTGGAGCTGATTGGGTCTCTTTTAATACTTGAATTTCTCTCTTAAGATATTCAATTTCTTCTTGAGCCTCACTACTTGAACCTGATGATACTGAAGTTGATGCAGCTGCGGCAGCGGCCATAGCTTGTTGGGTTTGTTGTTGTGAAGTTTTAAGTTGTGATTGGTAATATTTAACCTGTTCGTTTTGATCAGCAACCTCTTGTTCTTTATCTTGTAAATCTCTTTCTAAACGTCTGCTCTTTAAATTTAAATCCTGAATAGTAGAATCTCTTTGACGAAGTTGTTCTTGGAGATCTGCTACCTGTTTACTAACTGAACCTGATGCTACAGCTTGTTTATTTGCACTAGATAATTTATCTTCAAGATCTTTAATTTTATCTTCTAAATCAATGTTATCACCTGAAATTTCTCTAAATCTTTTTTTTAAATCTGCAAACTCCTGTGCTGATGGACCACCTGTATTATTGCTACTACCACCACCGCCGCCGCCACCACCATTCTTTAAATCTTTTTGTAACATTTCGACTTGTCTTTCTAATTGTAAAACTCTTTGGTTAGAATCTTCGGCCTCTCTCTTCCAGTCACGATCTTTATTTGGATTATAAGCTGAACTGTTACTTGTTAATGTTGAAGTAGTTGTGGTTGGTTTTGAAACAGTTGAGACAACTGGTTTTGATGGACCCTTTGATAAAAGTGCATTTAATTCAGCATCTTGATCATTGCTAAAGGGTTTAACTGAAGGTGAAGCTGAATAAGAAGATGTTTGTGATTTGGTTGGTGTGCTTTCTTTACTACTATATGAATTTAAAGTTGGTGATTTTTTGTTATTTCCTAATAAATCATTAAGTTCAGCTGGACTAGCCGGTTTTTCGTTCATTGTATTTTGACTATGATCGTCTTGTCTGTTACCAAATTTGCTTGTAGATGATGCAGTTGAAATATCACTATTTGAGTCATCGTCTGCAACAAAATCTTCACCATCTTCATCGTCTGAACCATCATTTGAATTTAAATCAGTTTCGGTTGCTGGTTCGTCATCTGGATTAATCTCTAATTCTTTAGTTTTAACATTTAATGTCAATACAATTGGACCACCTTTCTTTTGTTTAATTGGTATTGCTTTAAATTGATCGTCTCTAAGGTTTTGTGTGAAATCTGCTAAATCTAACATTGTTTTTGCTACTGATTTTTTGGTTTTTTCCTTTAGATAAAAAAAAGAAATCAATATTTATACTAATAGATTTATATAAATTTGCTACTCGAGTAGTAGTATGTTTTAATATTTACATCTTTAATTGAAACTGCAATTGTTTTTGATTCATAAGTTTTTTTTGGTGGCTTTTCTTTATAAAGAGTTGTAGTTAATGAAAATGGATGATTAAATGATGCTGATTTATTTGCACTAACTGTAACTGGTTTTGTTTTTCCATTATTTGATGATTTAGTACCTCTTTTCCATGATACTAAAACTGTGCCTGTAACTGGTAAATTTTCAATATTTAAAATCTTTATATCAAATTGAAATTTACCTTGCTCTCTTGTATTTGGTCCTCTTACTTTTGATAATCCTTTAAATAATGCATCCTTTCCTGATTTCATTGAATCTTTATATTTATCCATTATTATCAACAAAGAAAGATATTAATTGAATTACAAATATTATTACTATTAATGTGTAAATAAAAATAGATATAAAAAAAACACAATATAAACTATTTAAACTATATATAATAATTACTATAAATGCTAATAGAAAAAAAAAATACAATAAAATTTAATAATACACAATTAAATAAATAAATAAATTAAAATATTAATAACAATATATATTAATAAAAACAAATCAAAAAAAAAATTTTAAAAAAAAATTAAAAAAAAAAATTTTAAAAAAAAAATTAAAAAAAAAATAATTTTAAAAAAAAATTATAACACGGTTACAGTATGGGTTTAGTGACCCACCACCTTTAGTGTGTTATTATAAAACGAAGATAACGTTTACATTTCGATTTTGATTTCTTTTTTTTGTAATATAAAAATATCCCATCATATTTTTATTACTTTTTTTTTTTAATTTTTTTTATTTAATATTAGTGTGATTTGATCAAAATCAATTATTGTTGGTATAATATTTTATTATTATATTGTTATTATTTATTGTTCTATTTTAATTTATTATTATAGAATATTAAAATTGTTTTTATTATGCATATATTTTATCATTATTATTATTTAATTATTACTCTAATTATAACTTTAATTTTTAAAAAAAAAAAAAAATAATAAAATAATGAATTTAATAATATTTAAAAAAACAACAAAAAAATCTATTTTAGTTGTTTGAATAAATAAAATCATTTCCATCATTTTATTTTTTTATCTTTAAATTATTTAGAAAAAAGTTTTTTGCTGGATATCGATAACTATATAGCCGTTCCTGTCAAGAGGCTTGCTAGAAATCTCCCAACATGCTAAGTCTGAAAGATGAGATACATAAAATAAATTATGTACCCAAATTTTTTTTATTTAAATAAAACCTACATATAATAACTTTTTATATTTGGTTTGTCTATGGGATTTTTTTTTTTATAAAAAAATTAAAAAATTAAAAAACTAAAAACTAAAAAATAAAAAACTAAAAAAAATAAAAAAACTTAACTTTATACCAAAAAAAAAAAAAAAAAAAAAAAAAAAAAAAAAAAAAAAAAAAAAAAATTTTTTAAAATTAAAATGATTTTTATTTGTATCGTGTGGAATATTTTTTTTAATATAAAATATTTTTCTAAATATCAACTGATTTTGATGTGGAGGATTTTCGTTTATGTTTATTCTCTTTTAAAAAAAAAATTTTGATTTTTTTTTATTTTTGTATTTTTTTTTAATTTTTATTTTTTTCTTTTTTAAATTTCTTTTTTTTTTTTTTTTTTCTTTTTTTTTAATATTTTTTTTTTTTTTTTATTTTATTTTATATATTATATTTTTATATATTTAATTTATATTTTTTAAACAATGGTAAGAAAATTATTAATTTTAAAAGTCAATGATGATGTAAACGTAAATATAAAAAAAAAACAGCGTTTTTACAAAATTAAATTTTTAAAAATTTTATTTTTAAAACATAAATAAACAAAAATATTAATAATTATTAATATAAACAAATAAAATTAAACAATATAATAATATAGACAGTTCAAAATATTGAAACTACCAAAGATGGTGTTGTTATTCTCAACTATGAAGATTTAATTAATGGTAAAGATTTAACAGACTCAATTGAAAAGGCCTATGGTTTCTTAGGCTATGGTTTATTAGTAGTCAAAGGTATTCCAGAAATTGTCCAATTAAGAGAAAAACTTTTAAATCTTGCACCAAGATACTCTGCTCTTCCAGAAGAAATTAAAGAAAAAACTGTCCATAAACAAAGTAATTTTTCATTTGGTTGGAGTCATGGTAAAGAAATTTTAAGACCAGGCGTTTTTGGTAATTATTATTATTATTATTATAATTTTTAACAATCACTTGCGTTTTATTAAATAGATACTAATTTTCATGTGATATTAGATCAATACAAAGGTTCATATTATAATAATCCACAATATGACACACCATTCGAAGATAAAAAAATGATTGAGGAATTCCCAGAATCATGCCACCCAAATATTTGGCCAGTTGAAGATTTCCCAGAAATGAGAGATGCATTTATGGAATTAGGTCAAACTATTGTCAATGTTGGTCAATTAGTCGCTGAACAATGCGATAAATATGCAGTTAAAAATCTTGAAGGTTATTCGCCAGATACATTAAAGAATATTATTAAAGAATCATTAACATGTAAAGCTCGTCTCCTTTATTATTTCCCAATTAATGAAGACGATACACAAAGAACTCGTGACAGTTGGTGCGGATGGCACAATGATCACTCATCATTAACTGGTCTTTGTCCAGCCATGTATTTCAACATGAGTGAAGATGGCAAACAAGTTTTAACCAGTGATGTACCATGTCCAGATATGGAAGCAGGTCTCTATGCCAAATCACGTGATGACAAAGAAGTTAAAATTGCAATTCCAAAAGATTGCATCGCCTATCAAATTGGTGAATGTTCACAAATTCAAACTGGTGGTATTTTAAGAGCCACCCCACATGCTGTTCAAGCTATCAAATATCCAGAATCTAAAAATATTGGTCGTGGAACTTTTGCCGTTTTCATGCAACCAAATGTTGATGTTGTTCTCAACACTCCAAAAGGTAAAGATAATTGTCATGTTGGTCAATATAAAGCAGGTATGAACTTTGCCGAATTTAGTAAAGTTACAATCGAAAACTATTACTCTGAATAAATTAAAATTTAAATAAAATATTATCAATTTAAAATATAAAAAAAAAAAAAAAGAAATATTAAGAATTAAGAATTAAGAAAATAGATATTAATTATGATTGTGTGTGTGTGTGTATATGGAGTGGGTAAAGTAGTTTTAATTAATATTAAAAATTGGTGCCACACAATCACATACCCCACTTTTGTTTTGTTTATTTTTAATTTTATTTTTAATTTTTTTTTTAATTTTTTTTGTTTTGTTTTTTTTTTTTTTTTCTTTTTAATTTTCTTTTTTCTCTTTTTTTTATTTTTCATTTTTAAAATTAATGTTTTAAATAAATAATAATAAAAATACAGTTAATATAATATTTCGAATTTCATTTATAAATATTCATCAAAAATATTTTAATTTCATAAAAAAAATAAAAAATTTTTATTTTTTTTTTTTTTTTTTCGTTTTTTTTCACTTTTTTTTTTTTAAAATTTTTTTTTTTTATTTTTTTAAAATTATTATTATTATTTTCAGTTTTTGGTGATCTAATAGTTTTTTTGTTGTTTTAATATATTATTTAATAATAATAATAACAAAACTATATATTCAAAATGTACTCAATCACAAGAAATATTAGAAAAATTACACCAATTTGCAAAAATGGATTAAAATCATCATCATTCATAAATTCATCAAGAGTTACTATTCCAAATAGAACTTATTCAAACCAAACATCAACCAATATTGCCTCATCAACCTTTTCAAAGTTAGTTTCATTATAGTTATTCATTATCATTGGTAATAGCCACAAAACAGATCATTTTTAAACAAGTTCACAATAATTAATCAGTAATGATTAAAACAAAATTCTAGCTTTTACATAATATTCATTAGTCAATATGTATATTATTAGTAATAAAATCAACTTTGGAATAATTAATAGAATAAATCAACAACAATAATAATATCAATTATGTTAATAATAATTTAATATTAATATTATAATATTATAATATTAAACAATATAATTATAAATAATAAATAATAATTAATAATTGATAATTAATAAATAATAAATAATAAATAAAATTTAATAATAAATTATAAATGATAATAAAAAAAAAAATGATTTATGATAATGAAAATTTTCATATGAAATAATCATAAAATATTAATTTTTTTTTTTTTTTTTTTTTAGAACCCCATTAGGTGTTATGTCAGAAGAATTATTTTTACAACCAATTAATCCAGCAACATGTTCACCAATTACAGATTTAAAAATTGATACTAAAATTTCATTAAAAGCAAAATTTGATGCAGCATATCTTTTCAAAGAAGAATGGAGAAATGTCGAATTATCAGAAAAGAAATTAATGATTCAAAGATTTAGAGATAATTTAATTCAAAACACCGATTCCATAGCCGCTACTTTAACTAAAGAAACAGGTAAACCAATTACCCAAGCTACCAATGAAGTTATTGCAGTTATTGAACGTATCAATTTCTTTTTAGCCAATATCGATTCAGTATTAAAGGAACAAGTTGTTAGAACTACAGAAAAATTCCAAGAAAAGATTGTTAGAGAACCAGTTGGTGTTATTGCTGCTATTTCAGCATGGAACTACCCAATTTTCATTGGTCTTAATGTTATTATTCCAGCCTTACTTGCTGGTAATTGTGTCTTATATAAACCATCAGAATTCAGCTCTTTAACCGGTATCAGTATTATGAATTGTCTTTACGAAGCTGGTGTTCCACAAGAAGCTTTTCAAATTGTTTTAGGTAAAAAGATTATTAGTCAATCTTTATTAAATCTTCCAATTGATGGTGTTTACTTTACTGGTAGTTATGCCACCGGTAAAAGCATTAGCGAAAATTTAGCTGGCCGTATGATTAAACAACAACTCGAATTAGGTGGTAAAGATGCCGTATATGTTCACGAATCTGCCGATCTTAAAACTGCCGTCGCTTCAATTGCTGATGGTGCTATGTATAACACCGGTCAAAGTTGTTGCTCTGTAGAACGTATTTACGTCGATAAATCAATCTATGATACTTTTGTCAATGAATTGGTTCAAGTCGTTAAATCATTCAAATTCAGTTTTGACCCAACCAATCCACAAACTTATTTCGGTCCACTCACCCGTGGTGTTCCACAAATTGAACATTTACAAAGATTAATTGGTTCAGCCTTAAAACGTGGTGCTATTCTCGAATTAGGTGGTAATGTTCTCAGCAAAGCTCCAGGTTATTTCTTTGCCCCAACTATTGTTTCAAATGTTCATCATGGTATGGAAATTCAAAGAGAAGAATTATTTGGCCCAGTCGTTACAGTTCAACCAGTTAGTGGTCCAACTGAAGCCGCTCTTCTCATGAATGATACTCCATATGGTCTTACTGGTTCAGTTTATAGTGAAGATGCTGGTGTTGCCAACTTTATTGCTGAAAAATCAAATACTGGTACCGTTTATTGGAATGCTTGTGATAGAGTTTCACCATATCTTCCATGGAGTGGTCGTGGTGCTTCAGGTATTGGAGCTACTCTTGGTATTGAAGGTATTGAAAACTTTACTAGAATCAAAGCTCTCCACTTAATTGCTCCAGCTAAAGATTATTTCGGTAACCCATCAAATAGCCAAATCGTTACTAAAGTCACCAATTTAGTCAATTTAGAAGATCAAATGGAATCCCTCAAAATAGCCCAAAAAGGTGCCAATTTTTATGAAGCTGCTGATGGAAGTTTAAAGAAATATACCTTAAATGATGTTAAACCAATCTCAAGCTATGCTACCCAAGGCAATGCTTTCCCATTTGTAAATGAATCACTCTTTGAAAGTGAAGAAAAAGCTGAAGAAAATGAAGTCAGAGACCTTCTTAAATCAGGTAAAGTTAGAAAAGTTAACAAAGAAGATCCATATGTTCCAATCAGTTCAATTAAAAAAGACTAAAAAAAATAATATAATAATTTAATAATAATAGTACTATTAATTAAAAAAAAAAAAACCCTTTTCAAAAAAATTTAAAAAACTCTTATAAAATAAACTTTTTTTTTAAAAAAAAAACATTCTTTGTTACCAAATCCCTTGTTTGATCATTATCCCAGATATTATTTTATTTTCAAATCAAAAATTTGATAACCCATTTTTTTATTTTTAATTTTTTTTAATTTTAATTTTTATTTTATTTTTATTTTTATAATTTTATAATTTTTATTTTTAATAATTTTTTTCAAACGACCACATTCTTTACAACAAACAGATTTATGACTAGAAAAATTAAAATAAAATCAATAAAACAACCAAGTTTTTCTAAAAAAGATTTTATAGGTTTTCCTAAAACCTATCCAAAACAACTCTATGGTATAGTACCAGTTAAGGAATACCTACAAGCTATTGATTATTTAAATAGTAATACAAGAAGGTAATTTTAACCATTTAAAATAATTATAGCTTTTTCTATACTAATAATTATCTTTAAAATATAGAGAATATGATTCTTCAGTTTTAAAATATATTTTATTTTATATAATATGTGGACTCATACCAGGATTAATAGCCTATATAATAGAGTTAAGAAAATCTACTCAATATAAAAATAATGTAAGCACTTATTATTATTTTTTAATTATATTTTATTAATTTTATTTTAAATAGTTTGAAAAAGACTTAAAATTCTCTTTAGAACAAATTAATAAATCATTTTTTGATAGGAGAATCACAGTAAGTTATAAATTAGAAAAAACTCTCTTTGTTAGAAGAATGAGGGTATTATTAAAAATAAAAATACCAGATGATGGTACTCTAGAAATACCAATATCAAAAAAAACTTTATCTCCAGAAGGAAAAGAAATTATAGTTTTAGAAACAAACAACCAAGTAAGTAATATTACTGATAATCAATATAGATTATAAAACACTAATTGTTTTTATTTTAAAAAAGACAAGAGATATTGAGTATCAAAGATCACACAAATATAAAAGAGATCCAATTGATTTGGGTTTTACATTTATCAAAGTTGGTTATAAAAAATCAAGTTGGTATTTAGATTTGATATTTATTTTAAATCATAAACACTACTAACAATTTATTTTTCATAGAGGATCAAGATTTTGATAATTTTATTGGTTTTGAATCGACATACCATTGCGAATTATTTAATTATTTAACAGAGACCGAGTTTATTAATTTAATAAACGATATAAATGTGGAGGTTTCAAGAATCAAGATTAATTCAGTTGTTTCAAAATTATATAGATTAGTTATTATATTATCTTTTTTTATTTTTGGTTTATTTTTTATCATTCCAGCAACTATTATATATAACAATTTTCGAATTATTTATTTTAATAGATTATATAGGGAAATTGAAAAGAAAACAAGAGAATACACAACTCAATTCAGTTCAAGAGGTATTTCAATTTCATACCAAGTTTATTCAAGAGGATGGAACGCCCAAACTACTTTAATAGATTTAATAATTTATTTCCCCAAAGATATAGCAAACACACCAACACTTACAAGACTGGATAACGAAAATGGTTCTTTGGTTGTTGAACCAATGGTCGAAAATTGTATTGCTCCTATTTTTATGAATCAAGAAATGTGTATTAAGAACTATGATATATATTCATCAGCTCCAATGCTACCCTGTTTAAATGTTTAAATAAAAGATGTATACATAGTTTAATTGTTTTAAAATTTTAAAATTTTAAAATTTTAATTTGATTTAATAATCTATTTAATTAATCAAATCGAATTAAAATTATTTTTTTTATTAATAAATATTTTTTTTTTTTTATGATTGTTGGGGAAAAAACAATTCACTTTTTTACTATCTACAAATTATTTATTATTTATATTATTTATATTGATATTATTATTTATATGCTGTTATTTATAAATTGTTTTACCCAATGATGTTAATTTTTGAACAGTGAAGGAACTAATATCTTTGCAACCATAGATGTTTATAATTCTTACTTGTGGGCAATTATCTAGAACTGCTTCTAATGAACAATCAGTAATTTTTGGACATTTTGATATATCTAAATTTTCGAGAGAGGTGCAATTTTTGATGAAACGAATTAATGCAGTATCTTCCATATTGCTACACCAACTGAGATTAACGGTTTTAAGTTTTGAGAGTGGTGTGTTATCAACGATACTATCATTTGTAAGACTGAGGTAACCACGTAAACGAAGAGTATGTAGACGAGTCCATGCCTTAATAGCGGTACGAATAGCACGTGGAGTAATTAAATTACTGCAATATGAAAGATCGAGATTTGAAACAAATGGACATCCAGTGGCAAGTTTTAATAGTGCAGTATCAGAAATAGATCTACAATAACCAAACTTAATTACCTCGAGATATTGGCAACCATAGCCTTCGGATATTTCACCAAGTTGAGAAACACCAACGTCAGTAATAACACATTCTTCCATACAAAGTATTCTTAGTTGACGAAGACATTGAGCAACTTTCAAAAGACTTTGATCTGTAATTTTTTCGCACTGTGATAAGTCCAAATGAAGAAGAGATGGGCAGTTATTAGCAACATCAATAATAGAGGCATCGGTTACTTGGGTACAGCTATAAAGGATAAGACGATTTAAATTTGAACCAGCTCTTTTAGCAATTTCGAAAACACCACGATCGGTGATTTGTTGGCATTTGGTAAGATCAATATTTTTTAATTGTTTACAACGTTGAGCAATTGTAATTAATGATTCATCAGAGATATCGGTGCACCAAGCTAAACTAATGGTTTCGAGATTTGAAGCTTGATTGGTGATGGTAAGAATGGATTGATCATTAATAGCAATACAACGATTTAAATTTAATGAGGTTAGTGATGACCAATATTGAGTCTTGATTGTTTCCATGGGTTGTTGTTCTTGTTGATCAAAAATTGAGGAGGTAATGTTTTTTGATGATGTTAAATTCAAAGTAGAAAGTTTGCTGCAGTTTTTACCTAATAATTGTACACCTGTGTCGGTAATACCTTCACAAAGGATCAATTCGATTGTTGTGAGGCCAAGACAGTTTTCAGAGATTTTCTTTAAACTTGCATCGGTAATGCTTTTACCAGATATTTTAATACTATTTAAACCACGGCTAGTTGAACAAATTTGAGAGATACTGTGGTCAGTTATGTAGCCGCATTCGAGCAAATCGATATTTACAAGACTGCTAATATTGAATGATTGGAATGCAGCATCAGTTAGATTAACGCATCTTCTAAGATCTATTGTGTGAAGCTTTTTGCAATTTTGGGTGAGTTCATGTACTGCTGAATCTGTAATCTTCATGCAACCTGATAAGTCAACAACATAAAGATTTGGGCAACCACGAGCTAAGGAAACAATACCTGGATTGGTAAGCTGATAACAGTTTTTAAGGACTATAACTTCTAAATTACGACAACCAGTACTAATTGATGACAATGATTCGGATGAAAAGTTTATACAATTGGCTAAAGATAGTTTCTTTAAATGACTGCATGTGGAACCAACGATTTTGAGTGAGTTGGATGTAATTGATTTTGAACCCTCAAGATCCAAACTTTGCATAAATGGGCTAAGAAGACGAGCTAATAAAATATCATCCAATTGGGTAGTAATTATACCACCACCTTTAATACGTTCTTGTGTAATAAGTAAGGTGATAATCTTTTGGAGAATATCTTCTGGCATTGTTGTACCTTTGACATTACTTAAATTATGAATATTTTGCACAATCTTGCTAATGCATAATTGTATTAATGATGCTGGGGTTTGAGGTGGTAATAACTGTTTTGGAATAAAATAATTACATGAGTTATTTTGGTTATCATTGTTTGAGGAAACATTTGTTGTTGAGGTTGTTAAATTATTTACATTATTATTATTTATATTATTATTATCATCATTAGATGAAGCTGGTGAAATTATCATCATATCATCAGAGTTATTTGTTGAAGTGGTTGTAGTAGTTGTTGTTGTGGTGGTTGTTGTGGTTGTAGTAGTTATATTATTATTATTATTATTAAAGGGTGATTGTTGTGGTTGTGGTGTTATTTCACAATTATTTAATGAGTTATTTAATGAGTTATTTAATGAGCTATTGGTACTAATATTCATATTATTATTGTTATTGTTATTATTATTTACAGATGATTCAGATTTAATTTTCTTATTTGGTGTCTCTACTTCCATTTCATCGGGACTAGCCAATCTATTATTTGGTTTAGCAATACTAATATAGTTTTCTATTACAGAACCACCAACATCAACGGAGGGTTTCATTTGTTGTTGTCTCTTTAAACGGAATGGTGAGTTTAAGAGATATTGAATAGTATATTCAATATGTTTTTCGACAGAGTCTAAATAGGATAAACCTTGACGTAATATTTCAACTAATTTTTGTTGAATTTTGGTGGCAACAGCATATGGAACTACATTAAAGCATTTTTCTATGACTGAATAATAATTTACAAGTGGTTGTGGGAATGAGAGGTTTGAGATTTCTGTACAAAATGTTTCTAAGCAAATATTATAGATGAGAATATTCATATTTTGGTTGAATAATGTTTGAATACCATTAATCTTGGAACGGATATTACGGTCAGTGGCAGCTTGACAGTATTGGAGCAACTTTAATAATTGATTTTTTTCTTCGTTTGGTAGGGTTATTCTATTTAATAAGAGTTTATTGGTTTCAAATAAAATGTTTTTTGAGAACCCAATAATTTCTTCTTCGAGAACTGGTAAACGTTCAACGATATTTTCATTCCAAAAAGTTGGGGTCCAATTTAAAATGGATCTGCATAAAAGGATGACTGGGTTATTACTATTTGGATTGTCTAGTTTTGCGTTGCTATTATTACCAAAAGTAGAGTGAACTAAATTTACAAGATCGTTAATACTGATGAGGGAATCTTGTGATAAACCTTGGAACTGTGACCATTCTAATTTAGCATTTTGCTCACATTCTGATGACTTATTAAGGAAAAGTGATTCTGTTGCTTCTGAACTAACATAGGCTAACAATTTTCTCTTCCAACCGGCGAATCTAGTTCTAAATGATGTTGTTATTCTATCGATACCACTTGGAGGATTATTCATATTCATAACTCCACGATAATAATTGGTTCTCCAACTATTACTGTTGATTGATGAACTTGATGAATAGTTTGAGCCGACTTTAAGTGTCTCTTTAAATGAATTTGACAATTGTTGGTCATCAATATTGGATAATGAAGAGTTGGAAGATGATTTTGAGATTGATGTTGTAGTTGTGGTGGTTGTTTTTGAGGCGGGTATAATTTGTGATGGTGAAATTTTCATTTTATTTGGTTGTGGTATATTATCACTATTATTTTCATCTATTTTATTTGAAACTGCATTTATTGGTAATGATAAATTGGTTTGTGGTAATTGCTTATGTTGTTGCTCTTCTTGTTGTTGATATTTTTGTTGTTGTTGTTGTTCACTTATTAAACTATTTAAAATATGTGGTTTCTTTTCAATTCCTTGTTTAAATTTATCAAATAAACGATGCTGTGTGCTCCATGATGAAGTTGTTGATTGATGCATAGCTCTAACTAATGATGGGATATTTGTAATCTCTTTTAAATGTTTAATTGTTAAATAACCCATAGCTTTATATTCACTTGGTACTGATTTATTTAAGTGAATTGATGAAAACAATAGTGGCTAAATAAAAAAAATTAAAAAAATTAATATATTTTTATAAAATTAAATATGGACACTGTAAATTTAAATACTTACTTTAATTTTTAAAATTTTAAAAGAATCTAAAATTTTATGAATATTTGTAATATTTCTGGCATCTTTAAATAATTTTCTTAATTGGTTGATTAAAAATGAATGTAAATCCAAATTACCTAAAGATTTATTGTTTTGAGTTGATTCACCCAATTCAATAATTTGAACTGAACCATCATTATTTGAGAATCTTTGGGTGAATTTTGAGGCCAATAAGAGATCAGCTAAATCGGCACTAAGACCTCTGTAATCGATAGCCAAAAGTATTTGATCAGCATCATCTAGAATACGAGTGATGGTGAATTTTGAAACATTTCCTCTCTTGGTATCATCAGAAATCATTGTAATTTCACGTTTATTGAAAAGAACACTTGATGGCAATTTGATATGGAGTGCATTTATAATCGAACCATAAATCTTTAATACTTCTTTAATTTTTTCACGAATGAAAATACGGTCTACATTATGATCTCTTCCCAAACCTTTGAATTGAATTCGTTTACCAAGTAATTCCTTGAAATTTTCATTTAATGGAATATCCCAGTAAGAGGTAATATCATCATCAACAAGTTTAACTTTACCATTTTCAACGAAAGCACCTTCAACTATACTTGAGTAGACCCATTGAATTGATTGTAAACGCTTTGGATGAATTGGAATGGTTTTATCACTATAATATTGGTGTAACTCCCAGAGAACAATACGTACTTCATTTTCTTGTAAAAAGTCGACAACTAATTCGCAAATGGCACCATAGGTAAATTTGAATTGTTGATTTGGACCCAAACGACCTTGTGGCAATATAAAGATATGGTTATCGTTAACATTTGGTTGTTTTGTGAATAAATATTGACTTGTTATGTAAACTCTTTCGAATTCATTTTCCCTTTCTTTGTTCCAATTCATAGATTGATAAAAATTCTCATCGAGTATATTCTTTTGATCGATTTCATTTCTACTTAAACCCATTAATTTGTTTTTTAATTTATCTAATAAATATGTGTTATTTTGTGATGGTTGCTCTTGTTGTTGTGGTTGTTGTTGGTGTGAAGGTAGTGAAAAACTTTGTTGTTGTGGGTATTGAAAATTAAATGTATGGTTTGGTTGTTGTGTTTGTTGTTGATATTGTTGTTGATGGTATTCTGGTGATCTATGATTACCAACTATGGGTCTAATCGAGTTTAATGATGGTATAAATGTGGAGTGTAAAAGTGTATTGATTAAAAATGATTTACCAATGTTTGTTGGACCAATAATGACAATTGAATGCTTATTTTTTACCCAAACCCAACTTGATAATTGTGATGTAGAGAATGTTGATGACATCATTGAATGTGTGGATCCACCATTTGAAGCTAAAAAATTGTTTCTTAATATTGATGGAGTCATTGATTTCGATGAGGATGTTGTATTTGATGCAATCTTTATTTTATCAAATTTATATGAATTATACAAACTAAATGGTGAAATTGGTGTAATTAAAACTGATTGTTGATTTTGTGGTATTTTATTTGGTGATGGTGGTCTATTCATTGTAAAATTATTATTATTATTATTATTGTTATTGTTATTGTTATTGTTATTTATAGTTGGTGAAGTATTTATAGTATTTTTTATATTATTTATATTATTTTTTTCATGATTTATTAAATTATCAATTTTCATTACATCATCAATACTATTGTTATTATTTATTATTATATTATTATTATTATTATTAATAATATTACTATTACTGTTATTGTTACTATTATATACATTGGAAGTTGCAGTGGTTGCGGTAGTGGTAGTATTATTAAAATTTAAATTTATATTATTACTGTTACTATTATTATTAAAAAAACTAGATAAATCTAAATTTCTACTATTGTTTTTACTACTATTAGTGCTACCATTATCATTATTAAAATATTTATTAAAATTTATTGAGTTACTTGCACTACTATTTGAAGATAATGAATCTGAATATGTAGAGTATTTATTGGATGCTGTCGATGATTTACTGTATATTGTCGATTTATGTGATGATGGTAAATCTAACTGTAGATCGGTTCTAACAATTAACATCCCATTTGAATGCTCTCTACTATAGTTATTATCATTATTTTCTATATTATTATTTATATTATTATTATTATTATTATTATTAAATGCTATATTATCTTTATCATCATTTGTATCACCATTAAACAATCTACCACTATATTCTTTTTCTTGTTCTTGTTTAACCAGTTTATCAATTTCTACCAAATGTTCATTATAATCATCCTCTTGCTGTTTAGCTATATTTTGAAAAAAATTATAATTAATATTTTTTTTGTTTTGTTTTGTTTTTTTTTTTGTTTTGTTTTGTTTTGTTTTGCATTGTTTTTTTTTTTTTTTTTTTTTTTACTTACGTTTATCTTGTAAAAACTTTCTTTTACCAGATGATTGATTATAACCTTGTGACATTATATAAGATTTCTTTCGATTTTATTCAAAATATAGAATTATATATAATTTATATATAATAAATATATTACACAATTTAAAAAAAAAAAAAAAAATCAAAAATAAAATACTTGAAAAAAAATTTTATTTTTTATAATTATTATTATTTTTTTTAATTATTATTTTTAATTATTAAATTTTGTTGGATACATTGAAAGAATTTTCTTTTTATAATTTTTATTATTATTATTATTATACTGTTAATTATTGAGGTTAATTGTGATTGTTTGTAATATACTAAATTATAGTATTAATAAAATACTATTTTATATAGTGTTATGATTTTACGATTTCAATAATAGTAGTAAAAATAATAATAATAAAATAATTTAATTTAAAAAATTATTAAATTTAAAAAAAAAAACACAAAAAAAAAATTAAAAAAGAAAAAAAAATTTTAAAAAAGAAAAGAAAATATTCATTCAACTTTTCTTTTTTCCAAAGTTTTAAAATTTTTTTTTATTTTTCTTTTTTAATTTCTTTTATTTGATATTTTTATATTTTAAATTTACAATTATTTATTGATTGATGATTATAATTATTATTGTTGTTATTATTATTATTATTGATTATATTTATTATTATTTTTTTTGATTTTTTATTATTTTTTTTATTTAATTTTTTTTTTATTTTTTTTAAGATTTCTGTATTTAAATATTATAAAGATGGTTGCTAAAAAAAAAAAATTAAAAAAATTAAAAAAAATAAAAAAAAAAAATAAAAAAAATAAAAAATCAAAAAATTTTCACAGAGAAAATTATGACACCCACGAAAAAAAAAGTTGTTGTAAAATTCTCTAACCGAACATTCCCGCTACAGTTTTTGAAAATTGATTATATGTTTTCAATCAAAAAAAAAAATAAAAAAATAAATATATAATTTATTAATAATAATAACAATAAAATTCCAAACCGAACATTCCCACAGGTTTTAAATCCTGATATATTTTTCAAAAATTACTATTACCGAAATTTATTTCATTTATCTCATAAATTTCAATTCGGTTTTGGTTTGATTAATGAAATAAGTTAATATATATGTATTTATTAAAATTTGTTTTGTTGGATTAAAAATAACTCTTTTTCGAAAATCGATCAATTAAAAAAAAAAAAAAAAAAAAAAAAAAAAAAAAAAAAATTTTCGTTGAATTTTTGATTTATTTTATTTATTTTAAAAAAACT